CTCTGTTTAACCTGGTTTACTTTCCCTGACATCCTTTTATTTTATCAATTCTAATTTCCTTGAAGTTTGTTTCCAAGGAAGACACAGTGATACACGTGTGTAGTTCCAGCTGCTGAAGAGGCTGAAGCAGGAGGATTGTGTGAGGGCGATAGTTGGAGACCAGCCCCAACAACATAACAAAACCCCGTCTCAAACATATGTATATATAGTTTCCAGATAGATGCACATCTCTGTGAAACTGCAGAAGCGAACAAGGCGGGTGAAGTTTGCTATTATTAGGACCTTGTATTGGACTTGAATGGTAGAGTGCAATGAAATAAATGTGTGCCTGACATCATAACCCAAGGGAAGAAGCATATGAAAAGAGACAGTGGATTGATATGAGGTATGCAGGGCATTGCAGGGTCTAGGCTGATGAGGGCTCCACATGTTGGATCAGGACTACAGTGTGCCCACTTTATTTGTCAGAAAAGAGGTCAAAACCCAAAGCCAAGAGTAACAAAGAAAAGGTGCCATAAAGAAGAGTGAGTGAAGAGTCGTCTTCACCCAAACTGGGCCATAGAAAAACACGTGTCAAATAAATATGGAGTGGGTACACGAATAGCAAGCAGATCAGGACCCTGATGTGAGCTCCACGATGAGGCAGGCGGATCTATAAAGGTCTATTCAGTTGGGGGCCCTTGAGTCTGGAGATGATGTCAGCTCCACGCCAGCGGCCTGTTTGCCCAACAGCCTGGCTCTTCTCTTGGATTCCTCATCCAGGATGCATTTCCCTCGGTCGTAGGAACTCATGTTCTTTTTGAACTATTCTGCTTTTACTGCTCTGGATTAGAAACTTTTTAGACTGTGTCCCAGAGTAAGAAATACCTTGTACTTCAGGACTCAACATGTGTGCAAACACAAATACACACACATACACAAACGCACGGAGGGGCAGGGAGAGAGAGTATCATGAAATCTTTGTGTATGTGTGTTTAATATGCATAATGCACTCTGATAGCTTCTTTTGTGGTTTATTTATTCTTTTTTTTTTTTTTTTTTTGAGATGGAGTTTCGCTCTTGTTACCCAGGCTGGAGTGCAATGGCGCCATCTCGGCTCACCGCAACCACGCCTCCTGGGTTCAGGCAATTCTCCTGCCTCAGCCTCCCGAGTAGCTGGAATTACAGGCACACGCCACCATGCCCAGCTAATTTTTGTATGTTTAGTAGAGACGGGGTTTCACCATGTTGACCAGATGGTCTCAATCTCTTGACCTCGTGATCCACCCTCCTCGGCCTCCCAAAGTGTTGGGATTACAGGCTTGAGCCACGGCGCCTGGCCCTATTCTTTTTTTTTTTTTTCTGAGACAGAGTCTCGCTCTATCACCAGGCTGGAAGTGCAGTGTCACAATCTCGGCTCACTGCAACCTCTGCCTCCTGGGTTCAAGTGATTCTCCTGCCTCACCCTCCCAAAAGTAGCTGGGAATACAGGCCCACACCACCATGCCCATTTAATTTTTGTATTTTTTGTAGAAACCACGTTTCACGATGTTGGCCAGGATGATCTCAATCTCTTGACCTTGTGATCTGCCTGCCTTGGCCTCCCAAAGTGCTGGGATTACAGGTGTGAGCCTCCGCGCCCGGACCTATTCTATTTAATTCTTTCAAACCACACTCTGACCCTCTAATGGGTCCTGATCCAAGATTATGAACAACATTCCAGTACTATGCCCTCCACACCTATTTTAGCATCTTTTTTAAGGTTTCTTTTTTCTCTAAGGCTCCCTATCTAAGGCTTCTTTTTTGGCTTTTCTTCTTTTCCTCATTGTCAGAAAACTCTGAGACAGCACATTCTCTCATTTGTTCACAGAGTGTATATTTGTTTGGCTACTGTCACCAACTGCACTAAACGTGGGGTGGTGAGGAATCGCATGTAACATTATCATGTCGCTCACTCAGATGCCCACAGTCTAGCTGGGGAAGATTATATGGAATGAAATGAAATTGACACAGTGATAATCCCTACTCATGAATTAATTACATAAAGGAAATGTCATTTAACTGTGGGAATTTTTTTAAATGGTTCACAACGGAAGTGACTCTGGGGAGTCCTGAAAGAATGGATGGAATTTTCTTTTTTTTTTTTTTTTTTGAGACAGAGTTTCGCTCTTGTTACACAGGCTGGAGTGCAATGGCGTGATTTCGGCTCACCGCAACCTCCGCCTCCTGGGTTCAGGCAATTCTCCTGCCTCAGCCTCCTGAGTAGCTGGGACTACAGGCTTGAGCCACCGTGCCCGGCCAAGAATGGATGGAATTTTCTACACAAAGACATGGTGAAAATTACAGATAGACCCAGGGGGTGAGACTCAAATACAGGGAGGTGAGTGCGAACCAAAGACATATTTTCAAATAAATATGGCATAGGCAGAGGAATAAAAATTAGATTAGGATTCTGCCAAGTGGATCATTGAACATTAAAGCTCTGCTTCTGGCGAAGCTGAAGTCAATTTCAATTTTTGGGAGATCTATGTGGGAGAGGGAAGGGTGTGTGAAGGTATCACAGAGGGTGAAGCCTTGTCTTTGCAGGCACAGAATTTTACTTTCATTCTCCAGTGGGAAGTCATAGGGTGGGGGTGGAGGGATTAAGCTGGAATATTCAATGACCAACTTTGAAAGATAGATTTCTCTGAATTAACGAGAATATTGGCATGGAGGGGTGCCAGCCTGGGAAAGATGACAAGGAACTGAAATGAGGCCAGAGAATCGGGACTGGAAAGGTGAGAAAGGGATGGAGACGTTGAGTGGCAGATGGGATAAATCAGCCTCGTCTCATCACCAGGGATAACAATTCATTTACTAACAGGAAGGAACCATGCAAAGCACTTTATACATATATTGATTAACTCTGTGGACCACATCAGGACAATGCCATCCACTCTATAGGGAAAGATACCAGCATTTATAAATTCTGTCATTATTAGCAACATGGGTGGAAGTGGAGGTCATCATGTTGAGTGAAATAAGCCAGGCACAGAAAACATTTACATGGGAGCCCAAAATCAGGATCTCTTAAAGGTAGTGAATAGAATGGCAGTTACCAGAGGCTGGAAAGGGTAGTGCAGAGGGAAGGATGAAAGCCAGTTGCTTATGGGCACAAAACTACAGTTAGATGGAAGGAATAAGATCTACTGTTCCACAGCACAACAGGATGACTATACTCAACAATAACTTATTATATATTTCTAAACAGATAGAAGAGAAGATATGGGGTGTTTCCAACACAAAGAAATGATGAATGTTTGACAGGGCAGGTATGCCACTTACCCAGATTTGATCACTATGCATTGTATGCTTGCATCAAATTATCACATGTAGCCCATAAATATGTACAATTATGTATTTATAAAAATTTTTAAATAATTTAGAATGACTTTGTAGGCTTTTCTAAGTCCAACAGCAAGTACAGAGCAGATGCAAAATTATAAATTTTTTTTCTGATGATAGTTGTTTTGCATTTACAAACATGTACAAGCTGGAACATTCAATAACCAGCTTTGAAAGATAGATTTCTCTGAATTGATGAGAATATTGGCATGGAGGGGTGCCAGCCTGGGAGAGATGACAAGGACCTGAAATGAGGCCAGAGAATTGGGACTGGAAAGGTGAGAAAGGGATGGAGACATTTGAGTGACAGACAGGAAAAATGAGAGGTAGAAGAAAAACAGCCTCATCTCATCACCAGTGATAACCATTCATTTAGGAATAAGAAAGAGCCATGCAAAGTTTTTTCACGTACATTGTTTTGCATTTACTATAGTTTACACAAATATTTTACAATTGCATCTTAAACACCCCCACCCACTTTTATTGGACTTTGTGTGATTCCTTTTGTAAACTGTGGGTTTATTCCCTTTTCCCCTTTTCTCTTGGGGTGTTTAATCTGTAAGACATCTTGACACTATAAAGGTATCAGTTTGTATTAATTAATAATTATTCTGGGCATTGGGGTATATAAGCAGAGTTGAAATGTTGCCAGAAACAAGGAAGCTTTTTTCATCAGTCTCTCATCAACCACCTGTGTCCATCATGCCGATCATTCATCTCTTTTGTTATGCAGATTTTTATATATTTTGTTAAATACAAGGCACAAAATGATAATGTAAAATAGAGCCCCACTTTTACACATCCATGGGAAGCTTACAGCCTGGAAGTTGCTGCCCTGTTTACATTCTTAGGGGCCACATTAATAGAGGGCTGGGAACCACTTGGGGAGATGGGGCTGTCAGTGTGTTGAAGTTTCAGCAGCAGTAGGGAGACCACCTGGTTCCTCAACACCCCAACACCACCTCTCATCACTCCTTCCTCCTCCCATCACTCATCCCCCTCACCACACTGGCTCCTATTCGAGCCTTCATTATCTGAAACAAGAACCTCCCCCAGGCCTTTGCCCTAGTCATTCCCTCCGCCAGGCACAGACTTTCTCACATATCCTCCAGCTCCCACCCATTCTTCCTTGAGGTCTCTGTTGAAATGTCACCTGGTCTGCTGGTCTTGCCTGGACACCCATAAAAAATAGCAGCCCCTATCCATTCTCTTTTGATGTGCTTTCATTTCCTTCTAAGCACCATCTAACACATCAGATGATGATGTCTTTATCAGCTCATGGTCTTTCTCCATCATTGGATAGTAAGAACATCAACTTCTCAGCACCCTACACTCATTAGCCAGACAGTTCCTGGAGCATGGTCAGCGCACAATCAGTATTACTCAAGTGCATGAAAGAATTTCTCATTAAACAATGCACAGCCTCTTAGGGAAAGGTTGAGCATAGCACAGGAATTTTCAATCAGAGACAGCTCTGAAGAGCACAGAAATTGAGACAAGTTCCATACACAAAATATAGAAATGAATATCTTGACTGCAAAATATAAATGGTTGCCTTTCAGCAATGCGAGTGGTGCCCTTTTGAGTGAAACTCAGTCATGTTCTCTTTCTCTGACTAGTAGTCACCAAAACCACGTGGAACCCATGAATGATACAAGGATTTTAGGATTTCTTCTTCTGGGACTTTCAGAGGAACCAGAATTGCAGCCTGTTATCTTTGGACTTTTCCTCTCTACGTATCTGATGACTGTGTTTGGAAACCTGCTCATCATCCTGGCCATCAGCTCTGATTCCCACCTCCACACCCCCATGTACTTCTTTCTCTCCAACCTGTCCTTTGTGGACATCTGTGTTACCTCCACCACACTTCCGAAGACACTGTCAAACATCCAGACACACAGCAAAGTCATCACCTATGCAGGCTGCGTCACCCAGTTGTACTTCTTTGTACTCTTCATAGGGTTGGACAGCTTACTCCTGACCGTGATGGCCTATGACCGGTTTGTGGCCATCTGTCACCCCCTGCACTACACGGTCATCATGAACCCTCAGTTCTGTGGACTGCTGGTTCTAGTGTCCTGGATCATGAGTGCCCTGCATTCCTTGACAGAAAGCTTAATGGTATTACCACTGCTCTTTTGTACAGACTTGAAAATCCCCCAGTTTTTCTGTGAAATTCATCAGATAATTCATATTGCCTGTTCTGACACCTTTCTTAATAACCTGGTGATGTATTTGTCAACTGTGCTCCTGGGCGGTGGTCCCCTTGCTGGGATCCTGTACTCTTACTCTAAGATAGTTTCCTCTATACGTGCAATCTCATCAGCTGAGGGGAAGTACAAGGCATTTTCCACCTGTGCATCTTACCTCTCAGTTGTCTCCTTATTCTATTGTACAGGCCTAGGGGTGTACCTGAGTTCTGCTGCAACCCACAGCTCACTCTCAAGCGCAGCAGCCTCAGTGATGTACACTGTGGTCACCCCCATGCTGAACCCCTTCATCTACAGCCTGAGGAACAAAGACATAAAGGAAGCTCTAAGACGATTCTTCAGAAGAAAGAAATAAAAGGAGCATCTTTCCAGAAGTGCATGTGATTTCAAAGCTCTAACCTTCAGACTTAGACATTGTGATTCACGAATCAGATCATGGAAGGAAAAAGTCCTGCTTCTCTTCAATTTCTAGAGTTTGAATTTCCTTGTTCTTGAGTGCTGTGTAGGTTTTATGCTATTTCTTTAGAAAGCTTTCTGCTCTGATATCCAATCAGTTTTTTCTTTGTCATTGTTCTAATTTCCCAGTTATTTCCAAACTAGAGTAAAAAACCTCTTAGAGATTCCTATTTGTTTAATATACTAGAGAGTTGTATCCGTCCTAAAAATCAGTTGCAGTTGGCTCCTGTAAGGTCATTAGTATAATTACATTGTAGATGATCATCTGAGACCACAGTTTTTCACATCTGAGTCCCTCATTTCTTTCTCTGTCACTACCTTGACTGTTCTTTCTGACCATGTCAACTTCACCATGCCAGTGTGTTCACAGATTGTCACAGCATTCTGTTGTCCTTATTAGCATCCTGCACTCTATCCAGCTCAGTGTACACACTGCCTACTATATTCCCTGGTAAAGAGGAGGAAGGCAAGTATTACATATGAAATGCATGTTCCTAGTGTAGTCTACACAAAAAGACACGTTTGAATCAATCTGCTGACTTCATATGGCCTCAGATTCAGAGATGGCCGTAAATATAATGGACTAAAATTTTCAGTCATGCAATGATTTCCATGGAAGATTTGTTTTTGATGGTGTAGGTATAGTTTGTGTCTCCACCCAAATCTCATCTTGAATTGTAGCTCCTATAATTTCCACGTGCCATGGGAGGGGCCCGGTGGGAGGTTATTGAATCTCGGCAGTGGGGTTTTCCCCTGTTGTTCACATGATAGTGAATAAGTCTCATGAGATCTGATGGTTTTATAAAGGGGAGTTCCCCTCACATTCTCTCTTGCCTGCCACCATGTAAGACATGCCTTTTGCCTTCTGCCATGATTGTGAGGCCTCCCCAGCTACATGGAACTGTGAGTCCATTAAACATCTTTTTCTTTATAAATTATCCATTCTTAGGCATGTCTTTATCAGCAGCATGAAAACAAACTAATACAGTGTACATCTACTCATTCAAGTGTGGAAGCCTGTTGCCCGTGGGTACTGAGGTTTGTTCATTTAGGTAAAGATTTGGTGTCATGATCTATGTTTTGTTATTGCATCATCTTACCGTTTCTGATAAAAAGTTTCCAGTGCTACAAATGCGATTTCTTGCATTGTTCTAAAAATATCCCTCCCTTTAGGAAATCGTGTCATAGCGTTAAACTGGAGGTAAGTGAAGAATGTGTGCATTTACTGCATTATCATTTGCTTTGTCTCTTTTACACTCCAAACTCTCTTCAGTCTTCATGAGCAAATGATGGCTCACACAAGAGCTTGAATTTCTTCCCAGTATTGCATATAAGGTTAAAGACTTGTGATTCAAGACTGCAGTTTGTTTCAGCAAAAATATATGGGCCCTGCCCAACTCTCCTGGTTACCTAGAAGGAATCTAAAAGTTGTCTCCTTACGATACAGTTATCTGAAGTAAATATAAATATCCATATAATTAAGATCCCTGCCTTCAAATATCAGAAAAAGCATCAAAATATATGAGCCAGTGGAATATTTTGAATACACTTAACCCAATACAAAACTTACAAAAGGATCTGACATCTAAAAAATCATAATATTCCCAATATCTTTAGTTACGTTGCTTTGATTACTGTATCAGTAATCTAATCCTGCATAACAAAACATCCCAATAATAAATGGTTTAAAGTCAAGCTTTCAAAAAATCACATCAGAGTCTACATTGTTTTCTCACTGGGAATTAGGACATATATATCCTGGGTAGGACGAAAATATTCACCATAGGACTATCCAAACCTAGTTAGTTCCTGAATGTTGAACAGTAGGGACAATTTTTTAAACTTTTATTTTAGATTCAGGGGTGCATGTGCAGGTTTGCTATATAAGCAAATTGTATGTGGTGAGGGTTGGTGCACAGAGTATTTTGTCACCCAGTTAAGCATATCTGATAGATGGGTTTTTTTAATCCTCACCCTCCTACCACCCTCCACCCTCCAGAAGGCCCCAGTGTCTGTTGTTCCCCTCTTTGTGTCCATGTGTTCTCATTATTTAGCTCCCACTTGTAAATGACAAGATGTGGTCATTTGCTTTTCTGTTCCTACATCAGTTTGCTTAGTATTATGGCCTCCAGCTCCAACCACACTGCTGCAAAGGACTAGGTCTCATTCCTTTTGATGGCTCTATAGTATTCCATGTTGCATATTTATTCAGTCTGCTATTGATGGACATTCAGGTTGATTCCATGTCTTTGCTATTGTAATGGGAAATCCTTCATGAAATTGGTGTAGGCAATGATGTTTGAAATAAGACCTCAAAAGCACAGATAACAAAAATGCAAATAGACAAATGGGATGACATCAAACTAAAAAGCTTGTGCACAGCAAATAAAATTACTGACAGATTGAAGAAACAAGCTTCAGAATGGGAGGAAATATGCCCAAAATATATATCCAAAAAGGGGCCACTCAGAATATATGAAAAACTCAATAGCAAGAAACAAATAAAAACTCAAGCAATAAATAATAAATGGGAAAAAGATCTGAGGAGACATTTTTTCAAATACAACATACAAATACATGAAAAGTGCTCAAAATCACTAATCACCAAGAAAATGTACATCAAAGCCACAGTGAGATACTACCTCATATCATCAGAATGGCTATTATCAAAAAGACAGGAAAAGAATAATAATCCCAGCTACTCCAGAGGCTGAGGCTGGAGAATCGCTTGAACCACGAGGTGGAGGTTTCAGTGAGCCAAGATTGCGCCACTGCACTCCAGCCTGAGAGACAAGAGCGAAACTCCATCCAAAAAAAAAACAGAAAGAATAATAACAATGGCTGACAAGAATGTGGAGAAAGATAAAATATTGTATATTGTTAGTGGAATGTAAACGAATACAACCAATATGAAAAACAGTATAGAGGTTCCTTAAAAAAGTAAAGAGAGAACTAGAACATGATTCAGCAATGCTACTACTGGTATTTATCCAAAGTAAATGACAACAGTATATCAAAGAGATAGCTGCACACTCACATTTATTGCAGCACCATTCACAATAACCAAGACATGAAATTAGTCTAAGTGTCCATCAATGGATGAATGGAATTTTAAATGTGGTACATCTACACAATGGAAAAATATTCAGCCATATACAAGAAGGAAATCCCGGGATTTGTAACAAAACAAATGAACCTGAAGGACATCATGTTAAGTGAAATAAGCCAGACACAGAAAGACAAATACCACTTGACATCATTCACATGAGGAATTGATCTCATAAAATTAGAGAATAGAATAGTGACCACGAGAACCTGGGACAGTTGTGGAAGGAGGGGTGGGGATACTAAATTGCAGTTAGAAGGAATAAACTCTTGAGATACAGAGTACAACATGAATACTTCATACTTAATGATAATATACTGTATCAGGGAAAAATACTAAGGGGTGTTAAGTGTCCTCAAAATGAATATGATGTGAGGTAAAGCATAAATTAATTATCTGAATTTAACATTCCATACTGTAGCTAGATCTCGAAACACTGTTAGACGTGATAAATACGTGCCAACTTACCCATCAATTTAAAAAAATGAATAAATACATTTTGCAAAATTAAAATAATTTTATAAGGTGCTAATCTCAAGGCAACTTGTATAAAGAGATACAAATATATCTCTTACAGCAACCAAATGTTTTATAAATGAATAATGATATGACAGCTCTTGACCTGTTGAAGTCAAAGGATGTAGCACCCACGGTTTTCTATCAGAAGAACATAGTTCACCCCTTGTTGAAGAGGGGAACAAGAAGTATCAAGGGCTGAGTTCACATCACAAGTCAGATTCTTGGAGACCCAAGAGACCTAGTCAAAACAAGTTCCTCAGTTTAGACTTTGGAAAAAACCTTCCTCTAGGGTTTGGTTAAGGTGTTAGGAGGTTAGGTCTCCAGAAGTCAAGCAAGTCCATGGAGAAGGAGTAATGAAGGCTGCATTAACCTCAGATTCAATATGGTGTCTTGGGAACAGAGCATGCAGAAAAAAATTTCTTTAAGTGCAGGGGAAAATCCCATAGGAAAATGATGTAATCAGGTGGAATAACAAGAGGAAATGTGCCTAATGAGCAGATTTACAAAGCTGTAAATTTCCCCTCTGCTGCTGTTCCTCAGAATATGCAATGTTGGGCTCAATGAGACATGGTTGTTTCCTTTGGAGTCCTTGATCTGGCTCAGCTACCGATGCTTTCCTGTCTCCTACTGTCTCAGGACAGAGCTTCAGTCTCCATCATCGACCACCTGGGGAGGTAGTCACACATCCACGTGGATGCCTTCCTCTCAGAAGACCCAACGAGGTGAGTCCAAGAGCCCAGTAGGTACCGTAGGAATGGATCAGGGAGAACGCAGTCCACGAACGTGGACCCAAAGTCATCTGAGAGCCAACCCAGCCAAGCCCAGAGAAGAGAAATTGCTTTGGTTGTTGGCTTGCTTGCTTGACAAAGTATTTGATTCATGTAATTGTTTATGATGCTAAAAAGAGAAGTGAACATTGAACTCAGCAAGGAGGGTGATTCCTGACAGTTAAGTAATGGTCACGGAGGCCCAATTTGATGAAGAAATGGGAGGAATAAAGCGGTTCCAGTAAAAGTAGATACATGCCCAAGGATTATGCAAATAAGTGGAGGGAGAAAAAAGTAGTAGCTGTGGAGGCAGAGATAGCTATGTATATAAATATTTATATTAAATACTATATATATATATATATTGTAGGATTTTCACGTTAAAACTGTGATCTTCACTGCAGATAGTTTTGTCCCCCGTGGAATTTTGAGCAATGACAGGTTTGGCTGTCACCCTGACAAGGGTGAGTAGAGAACAGGGAAGCTGATAAACGATAATACAATGCACAGGGCAGACCCACCACAGTAAATAATCTGGCCCCGAAGTTCATTAGCGCTGGATTGAGGAACTTGGAGTTCATGAATATCTGTGTTTTCAATATTCACATCTCCTTCTAGATTACCTCCCCAAGAGCTTGTAACACTTTACACTTCTGCCGGCAAAACAACAGAGTCCCCGTTTGCTACCTGTTGCAAAGTTCCAACCCCACTCAACATGGCAGCTGCCCTTCAGGCTTTTCCCAGGCTGATGGGTGTGATAGAGATTCTTGCATTAAACCGTTACTGGGTTTGAGTAAAGATTCCTATATATAATCACCATTTTCATTTGTTTATTATCATATATCCATTTCTCTAGTTATCACCATTTCAAATTATTTCTATAGATTATTGATTTTTCATTGACATTTGAGGAAATACTTTTCAGCACAAAAAGCTGTAAATTTTATTTACCTAAATATATGTCTATAATCTTCTGTTTCTTGCCTTAGCATGCTTTGCATACACATCATTTTCTATGTGGTTTTCTACATGTTCAGCTAACATGTATTATTTACTTTATAAGGTGTTTAAACCCACTAATTTTTTGTAAAATATGAGCTGGGGACAAACTTCGTTGTCTTCCAGGTAGGTAGCCATTTGCCAGCTTTTGTTCCACAATTCAGCATTTTCCAACTAAATTGCAATCTAACCTGTCATATGTTAAATGTCCCTATATACTAATACTTAATTTCTGATTCATTCAATACCAAATGAGTATCTGCCATATGCCAGAACATTCTAGTGACACTGTATGCAATATATTGTGTAGGTCTTTGCCAATTAAATAATTAGTCCCTTCTGATATTAAATTACTGTTATTTTATACCTTCTTTCAATTAATTTTCAATGTCTCCTTCAAATTCACTTAAGATAGTGTTTTTTAATTCACTATATTTTTCTGGCTTTATTCCACTGACAATTTTTATTTCAAAACTTCCTCTTGCTTTAATTTTTTTGTAACTCTTCTACACATATTTATGTACCTAAGTGAAAAAAACACAAAGATAAACAGAGCAGGTGAAGTTCCTGCTCATTTGAATTTTATTATATAATGGTGAAGAGAGTTCAATGTAACAGGCCAGGTGCAGTGGCTCACTCAGGAGGGTGAGGCGGAGGTTGCAATGAGCCAAGATTGTGCCACTGCACTCCAGCCTGGGTGACGGAGCAAGACTCCATCTCAGAAATAATAATAATAATAATAATGCTCCATCTACACTTTTTCTTAGCATCATTCTTCCTCATGATAGGATTTGTTGCCATTTCATATAATATATGGAATTTAAATTTTTGTCTTCATTCTTTCTCAGTCATTAGATTGTAGAGACTTTTGTTATTTAACACCACATACTCATTTACTAGACCATGACTGAAACATATCAAAATTCACTTTATAGTCCTCAGATGCATGAAAGATTTTCTCATTAGTACTGTAGAGTACACGCCATCAGGGAAAGACCGAGAGTGGGACAGGAATTCCTAATCCAAGATGGCAAGGGGATGCCCTGGTCGGCACCAGATTCACACCCAAAATACGCACAATTAACTTCCTGTAGAATGGAGGTTACCAGAGGCTGGGGGTGCTGGGAGGGTGGGTTGGGGATGTGTTGATCAGAGGACACAAATTACAATTAGACAGGAAGACTGAATTCTTGTCGAATGGAGATTATCAGAGGATGGGAGGGTTGCTGGGCAGAGCTGGGGAGATGTTGGTCAAAGGATACAAAATTAAGCTAGACAGAGAAAGATTTTGTTCAAGAGACCTATTGTACGCCATGGTTCTAATGGTAATATAATCATGTACATAAAATCGTCAATGGTGATATAATATAATTAATAGTAACACATTGTATTTTTGAAAAATCCAAAGATGTTAAATGTTCTCATCACACACGATGACTATGTAAAATGATGACTGGCTAGATTTAGCCATTCACAGTATAAGCATACTTCAAAACATCATGGTGTACACAATAAAGACCCACCATTTTATCTGCTGACATAAAAAAAATCAACTTTAAAAAATAAAAGTCCATAGCTTCTTCACTGTAGGATATCCGCAACAGCATTTCTGGTAGGTTTGTAATGCATGTGAGTGTCATGTTCTTTTCTCTTTTTGGTAGAAACGTCAACCAGATGAAAGCAGGGAATGATACACAAATTTCAGAATTCCTTCTTCTGGGACTTTCACAGCAACCAGAAGTGCAGCCCTTCCTCTTCGGGCTGTTCCTGTCCATGTACCTGGTCACTGTGCTCGGGAACCTGCTCATCATCCTGGCCACAATCTCAGACTCCCACCTCCACACCCCCATGTACTTCTTCCTCTCCAACCTGTCCTTTGTAGACATCTGTTTTGTGTCTACCACTGTCCCAAAGATGCTGGTAAATATCCAGACACACAGCAAAGTCATCACCTTTGCAGGCTGCATCACCCAGATAGGCCATTGCCTACTCTTTGCAGTATTGGACGTCTTTATGCTGACTGTGATGGCCTATGACCGGTATGTGGCCATCTGTCACCCACTGCACTACACAGTCACCATTAACCCCAGACTGTGTGGACTGCTGGTTCTGGCATCCTGGATCCTGAGTGCCCTGAATTCCTCATTACAAACCTTAATAGTGCTGCGGCTTTCCTTCTGCACAGACTTGGAAATCCCCCACTTTTTCTGCGAACTTAATCAGGTCATCCACCTTGCCTGTTCTGACACTTTTCTTAATGATGTGGTGATGTATTTGGCCGCTGTGCTGCTGGGGGGTGGTCCCCTTGCAGGGATTCTTTACTCTTACTCTAAGATAGTTTCCTCCATACGTGCAATCTCATCAGCTCAGGGGAAGTACAAGGCATTTTCCACCTGTGTATCTCACATCTTAATTGTCTCCTTATTTTATGGTACACTCCTAGGTGTGTACCTTAGTTCTGCTGCAACTGGCAACTCACATTCAAGAGCTGCAGCCTCGGTGATGTACACTGTGGTCACCCCCATGCTGAATCCCTTCATCTACAGCCTGAGGAATAAAGACATAAAGGGGGCTCTGACACAATTCTTCAGAGGGAAACAATAAAAGAGCTGTTTTTCAAGAAGGGCCTGTCATTCCAGAGCTCTAAGCCCCGGACCCAGAAATTGTGATTTTGTAGTCAGATGGTGGAAGTAGGAATTGCTCCTCCTATTAATTTCTTGGACTTTCAAATTCTATGATCTTAACTGCTTTGTAGAATGTATGCATTTCCTTAAAGAAGCTTTCAGCTCTCAAGATAGCCAACCGCTTTCTCCTTTGTCATTTCCCAACTTCCCCAAAGTTATAACCAGACTAAGGTCAGAAACAAGGTGGATATTCTTGTTGGTCTCATATGCTGGTGAGTTGCGTTACTGCAAAGAACCAAGAATGGCAACTATAAAAATGATTAATATAACTTAATTGTGGATGAATAGCTGAGACCACAGTTTTGTACGTTTTTTTCTCCATCACTGCCTCAACTGCTCCTCCTCATAATGTAAAACTTTAATATACTCATATGCTTATAGCCAGTGTTGGCATTTTATCCTCTTCACTAAGATGCTGTTCTCTAGTCCTCTCCACATCCACGATGCCCACCATCTCTCTTGTTTAAAACAAAGATGACAAAAATTGCTTATGAAATCCATGTTCTAAGTGTGGTCTAAACAGACAAATTAGCATACATCAATTGACTTCATCTGGACTTAGACTCAGAGATTATCTTAACTATGACAGAGTAAAATGTTTAGTCATGCATGGAATTACTCTGGAACATTTGGAGCGAGGAATACTGGTGTCCATGTATAATGAAGTTTTTTCATTTGAGTGAACAATTTGATGTCATTGTCTATGTAATTTTATTGTATCATCTGCATTCTACCTAAAAGCTTCCTGTGCTACCTGCAAATACAACTCTTTCCATTGTACTAATAAATATCTTTCCCTTTAAACAATTTCCCATAAGCATTAAACTGCAGATAAGTGAACAATATGTGTGTTTAATTTATCAGCCATTGCTTTATTTCTTTTATACTATAAACTCTCTACAACCCTCCTGATCAAAGGAAGACTCACGCAAGAGCTTGAATTTCTGCCCAGTATTGCTCCTGGAAATAGAGATTTGTGTGACTCAAGGTCAGAACTCATTTCTCCAGAAACATACATGTCTTTTTGAACAGATATTTTTCAAAAGAAAATATACATGCAGCCAACATCATATGAAAAAAAAATTAACATCACTGACTAGAGAAATGCAAATCAAACCCACAATGAGATACCATCTCACACCAGTCAGAATAACCATAATTAAAAAGTCAAAAAATAACAGATTCTGGCAAGGTTGTGGAGAAAATGAGCACTTTTACACTGCTGTTGGGAGTGTAAATTAGTTCAGTCATTGTGGAAGACAGTGTGGTGATTCCTCAAAGACCTAAAGACAGAAATACCATTCAGCCCAGCAATCCCATTACTAGGTATATACCCAGAGGAATATAAACCTTTCTATTATAAAGACACAAGCACGGGTATGTTTATTGCAGCACTATTCACATTTGAAAAGACACGGAATCAATCTAAATGTCAATCAATGATAGACTGGATTTTTTTAATGTGGTACATATGCACCATGAAATACTATGCATCCATAAGAAAAAATTAAATCACGTCCTTGGCAGCCAACATGGATGGAGGCCATTATCCTTAGCAAACTAACACAGAAGCAGAATACCAAATACCACATGTTCTCACTCCTGTATGGGAGCTAAATGATGAGAACACATGTACACACAGAGGGGAACAACACATGCTGGGGACTATCAGAGGGTGGAGGCTAAGAGGTGGGAGAGACTCACCCTCATTAGGAAAAACAACTAATGGGTAATAGGCTTCATTTTTGGGTGATGAAATAATCTGTACAACAAACCCCCATGACAAAAGTTTACCTACCTAGCAAACCTGCACATGTACCCCTGAACTTAAAATAAAAGTTAAATTTAAATTAAATATATCTCCTTTCAGCCTCTTCTGTTTACCTAGAAAAAAAAAAGGAGACAATAGTTTCATCCAGTTTTCTGGCATAAACATGAATATCCAGGTAATCATGAATGCTGCCTTGAAATATCAGAACTCGTGTTAAAAAATAGCGGGCATCAGAATATTCTGAATGTCTTTAGATCTATTTGCACTGTTTATTGCACCAGTAAGCTAATGCTGCATAGCAAGCAATCCCACTGGTAAGTGACTTAATTGTCATGCTTTTTGATCACATAGGAATCTATGTAGGGAAGGTTTTTACATTGGAATTAGGACATATGAAACTTAGAGAGGACAAAATAGTCACTCCATACAACTATCCAAATCTAGTAGGTTTTTGAATTTTGAACAGAAAAGACAATTTGGCAGAGGAAGATGAAGAAAAGTGGTAGAATCTCAGAATGCCTCTCACAACATCCCCATAGACACTGGATATCTCCTGACTGCTCACATTGTTTCAGACAAGGCACATCACATGTCCAAGCTCAACATCAACCACTGTAAGGATAAACACACTTTCCAACTGAGCTATTAACAAAACCCAGAGCCAAAGGTGTGGAAGTACAATTCTCCTAAAGACAACTGGGGAGTTAACCAATATGTGAAAATTAAATGTATCTATACTGGCATGCAAAACAGATATGCAGGCATTCATACTTATGTTGACATTAGTTCTTAATGCATAATGTGCTGCAAGCTTCAACAAGGAGAAGAGTTCTAGAAAGAGCTATAGGAGCCAGGTGCTCACGCCTATAATCCCAGCACTTTGGGAGGCCAAGGCAGGTGGATCATGAGGTCAAGAGATCAAGACCATCCTGGTCAACAAGGTGAAACCCCGTCTCTACTAAAAACAGAAAAATTAGCTGGACATGGTGGTGCTCGCCTGTAGTCCCAGCTACTCGGGAGGCTGAGGCAGGAGAATTGCTTGAACCCAGAAGGCGGAGGTTGAGGTGAGCTGAGATTGTGCCATTGCACTCCAGTCTGGGTAACAAGAGCGAAACTCCGTCTCAAAAAAAAAAAAAAAAAAAAAAAAGCTATAGGAGGTCCTATAAGAGTTTCCTACAAGAGTGAAGAAGTAATTTGATGAACCAGGAGACAGAATAGCTGTCCTCCACTAAGCATCTGCTTTGTGCAAGGTAATCTCCAACGAGCTTCAAAATACTACTTCTCACAGAAACTCCATAAACAAGATGGAAGTTTTTTTTAAAGGTTTCATTTCCTGTCATGAGAAAAGCACACAAGAGGCACATGCAATCTTTGTTTATGCAAAAGCTGACCTGCCAAGTTCAACATTTGACCACCTGAAGTCATCCATGAGGTGTGCGGTAGGATTCCTGCTGGAGAAGGCCTCAAAGTACTTAAATCCGACTCTAACACTACACCACAACCTTGATCCTCAAAGAGTGAACCACCCAACAGGTTAGGGAGCATCAACATCAAGAGAAAAAAAATGTTACACATGTAGAATGTCTGGACCTATCCTAGAGGCCCCATATCAGCATCTACATTTGAACAAGATCCCTAATTGAAGCACACACCCATTGAGGTTGGACACAGTGTGAACAGAATGGCCTCTCAATCTCCCCGTGTTAACATTTTCTTGCATCATTTTTTGCTGTGGGCTATCCGGTGCATTGTAGGCTGTTGAGCAGCATCCCCAGATTATTTTTCATAATCACGTGAAAAAATATTATTTTATAGATCAAATTAGGAATATTCAAGAGTGTTTAATCTCATTTCCTTTCTGCTGAGGCTGAGTATACAGTGCTTGTTGGTTTGTTAGCCGTTTACTTTATGGCAAATTTTGCAAGTTCTTGGCTTTTACGTCGAGAGTCTGACTTTTATTCTTTCTTTACATTGTTTCAGATAAAGAATGAGAGATTTTTCACCAACTTTGCAGAATAATAGTCCATTGTTTGTGTACGTATAGATTATATCTCAGGGAATATGTGAAAGTTTACGAATTTCCTGTGGTCAAATCTCCCAGCTTGTCATACTGTGTACCCATCTTCTCCAAATTTTCTTGACCTAGAAAATTCTGCTGCATCTTTAGTAAAAATAAATCGCCTTTCATATGTATTGCCATCTTAGTTCACATTTTATTTTTGCCTTCTGTGATGTTTAATTGAAATATTTAATTTTATTTTGATGGACCAATAGCAACTGTAAATTTACACACACACACACATCACTGAGTCTTGCTCTGTCGCCCAGGCTACAGTGCAGTGGCATGATATTGGTTCACTGCAACCTCTGCCTCCCGAGTAGCTGGGATTACAGGCGCATGCCAACATGCCCAGCTAATTTATTATTGTTAATTTTAATAGAGATAGGGTTTCACCATATTGGTCAGGCTGGTCTGGAACTCCTGACCTCAGGTGATCCGTCTGCCTCAGGCTCCCAAAGGGCTGGAATTACAGGCATGAGCCACCATGCCCAGCTATTCTTTCCTAACAAAAAGCAGCCTGAGAAATCAAGCTGGAAGCCTAGATAAGCAGGCTGGAAGCTTGCATTGGTAAATGCCAACAGCTGTGCCAATACCAAAGGGATACCTGGGCCTGGCATGGTGACTCATGCCCATAATCCCAACACTTTGGGAAGCTGACGCTGGCGAATCATGAGGTCAGGAGATCGATACCATCCTGGGCAACATGGTGAAACGCTGTCTCTACTAAAAATACAAAAATTAGCTAGGCATGTGCCTGTAATCCCAGCTACTCAGGAAGCTGAGGCAGGAGAATCCCTTGAACCAGGGAGGTGGAGGTTGCAGTGAGCCAAGATACTGCCACTGCATTCCAGCCTAGGTGACAGACCAAGACTCCATCTCAAAAAAAAAAAAAAGAAGAAGAAGCAGAAGCAGGAAGAAGAAGAAGAAGAAGAAGAGGAGGAGGAGGAGGAGGAGGAGGAGGGGGAGGAGGAGGTGGAGGAAAAGAAGAAGGAATACCTGGAAGTCAGGTGTATCCAATATGGCGGGGTTTTTTTCTCTCTCTCTCTTTTTTTTTTTTTTTTTTTTTTTTTTAGCCACATGTGCAGGTGGCGGACACCAGCCAGGGAAAAACCCCATTTGCATAATAAAAATGAGGGTTGCATGGCCAGCCTCTTCACAGGCTAGTAAATGTCCCACCTGGTCCAATCAATCCACTGTGCATGCCCTGTGTAAATCAGACACCGCCTCCTCAACCTCGTCTATAAAAACAACCGCATCGTCCTCAAACCCGGAAACCTACTCAGGTCCCCCGAGGAAAATCTCTCTTCTTGCTTTTGCCTATTAAACTTTCTGCTCTTAAACCCACTGCTCCTGTGTCTGGCTCTTTTATTTCCTTAGCGCGAGACAACCAACCTCGGATATTTCCCCAAACTACGCCGCTTCAACACTCGGCTCATTTCCTGTCCCGAGAAATTTTCTGCCTTGACTATGAGCGTATTGAACGGGAAACTGGGACAGAGTCACCAACTGCTACCCACCGAATATCTGTTCTGTGCCAGTACTTTCCAATGAGCTTTCAGAGTTCCCACAAATCACTCAAGAACCTCCCTCGGAAGGGTCCTGAGTTCAAGGGGGCATCTGAGGACTAGGCCGAGCGCCCAGAGCGCCGCTCCCGCCGCGGCCACCCGCCCAACTCCGCCAGCGCTCGGGAAGCACGCAACTCCCGGGACCACCTCCCCCGTGCCCCGCGGACCCCGCGCTCCCCTCCCCGGGCCTCTGCGGCCCGCCACCCCGCTATCCGTCCTCCAGAAGGTACCCCCAGCTACAGCAGGCGGCAGCTGCTCTTTCCCTCTTCCCCGGACCCGGAGCGGGCAGAGCAGAGAAACAAACCGGAACTCACTGACCTTTCTCCGCTACGAGCTCGGGCGCTTCTCCACAGAGGCGGCGGCGCGACGGCATCGCTGGGTGGTCCCGGCGCGCCCGCCCCGCTCAGCCAGACGCGCGCCCAGGGCCGGCTACCCGGAGGGCGCGAACAGGGCCGAGGGGGCGCCTGCAGCCCCAGCTCCGCCCCGCCTGGCCCTTCGTGCGGCGCCCCCACCTGCACAGCAGCCCTCAGCTGGGTCGGAAGCCGCTGACAGTCGCTGACTCCAGCACCGAAGTGGGTGGGGGGATAGGCTGGGCTCCGCTCCCCGCGGCCCCGCCTCCCCGGCGGCACCACCCCTTTCTCCCCAGCCCCAGCCCTGAGGGCCGGGACTGCCTCCCACCTGTCCGTCCTGCACCGCCCACCTCCTGGGGGTGAGGGGCTGCCCAACCTCCCTCGCGGGCTCCCTCGGCTTTGCTCCCGGGGCCCACCCTTGGCCAGAACCTCTACTCCGTCTCTCCACTGTGCAAAAGCAGCACCTGAGCTGGCGGCAGGTGTGCAAGGAGGCCAAAGCCTCCAAGAGGAGGGGAGGGGCCGAGGTGGGGGAGGGTGGAGGAGGCCACAGGGGGCGGGTGGAGGAGTCCCCAGTTTGTGCCTGGGACCTGGACAGCCAGAGCTGGGAGCTGAGCTTCTCAAGTTTCCAGAAGCTGCCCTGCATCCAGGTCACCACAGTTCCTGGTTGCTTAAGATCCTCACATCAGCAGGTGGATCCAAGATGGTGGAATAGGAACAGCTCTGGATTGCAGTTCCCAGAGAAAACGCAGAGGCTGCTGCAGGTGATCCCCAGGCAAGTAGGGTCTGGAGTGGACCTCCAGCAGTCCTACAGCAGAGGGTCCTGAGTGTTAAGAGAGAAAACTAAGAAAGAAATAACTTCATCATTAACAAAAAGGACATCCACCCAGAGACCCCATCTGAAAGTTGCCAACTACAAACACCACAGGTAGATAAATCCACAAAGATGGGAAGAATCCAGCGCAAAAAATGAAAACACTCAAAACCAGAATGCCTCTCCTCCTCCAAGGGATCACAACTCCTCACCAGTAAGGGAACAAGGCTGGATGGAGAATGAGTCTGATGAATGAACAGAA